CCAAGAACCAGACAGTTAAACAAAACAGAGGTTTTTTTTTTCAAACAGAGTTCTTAAAAATTTTGAGTATACTTGCGTATTAAATTCTGAGTACACTTGCGTAATAAATTCTTCAACAAAGACATTTACACAGTTCCCACACAATTTCCCTTAGCTCCTGTCTTTATCTTCTAAAAAGTCAACTCTTACAAGTTACAAACACTTACTCTGTATTTAAACTTCCTACATTGAACCCTAAAAAAAAAAAACAGAGCAAAATGGTTCAAAACAAGCAAACACCTTTCGCCGTCGATTTGCCACAAACCGGCGATTCCAAGTGCTACGACGACGATGGTCGTACCAAACGAACTGGTAACAATGTTTCTTTTATCTCTTTACAATTCTTGTCAGAAAAAAAATTTCAGAAAGTTGAAGTTTTTAATTTTGGGTTTGGGTGTTTTAGGGAGTGTATGGACGGCGAGTGCGCACATAATAACGGCGGTGATAGGCTCCGGAGTTTTATCACTGGCATGGGCTACGGCGCAGCTAGGTTGGCTCGCCGGACCGGTGGTGATGTTACTCTTCTCCGTCGTCACTTACTTCACTTCAACACTCCTCGCCGCTTGTTACCGCTCCGGCGACCCTATCTCCGGCAAGAGGAACTACACTTACATGGACGCCGTCCGATCAAATCTCGGTATAGATTCTTACAAAATGGACGGTGGAGATTAGAATTTAGAAGAGAACATAAACATATGTTTCATTGTCTTGAACAGGTGGCGTGAAGGTGAAGTTATGTGGGATTGTTCAGTATTTGAATCTCTTTGGTGTTGCAATTGGTTACACTATTGCTTCAGCTATTAGCATGATGTGAGTGTTTTTAATCACTAATTAACACTTAGAAAGCTACCAAATTAATTTGAGTGTTTCTTGGTAATGGGTTTTGAATTTTTGATTCAAGAAACCAAATTTTTTATGTTTTGAAAAAACAGGGCAATTAAGAGATCGAATTGTTTTCACAAGAGTGGAGGGAAAGATCCATGTCACATGAACAGTAATCCTTACATGATTGCTTTTGGATTAGTCCAAATTATATTCTCTCAGATTCCAGATTTTGATCAGCTTTGGTGGCTCTCTATCGTCGCCGCCGTAATGTCCTTCACTTATTCCTCCGCCGGTCTTGCTCTCGGCATCGCCCAAGTCGTAGGTCCGTTTAAAAAGGATAGGGTCTTAAATTAGAGATTTCATAAGTTATGGGAGCTAAACATAATAAAGGAAATGTTTTTTTTTTCTGTTATTTTGGTTGTATCAGCTAATGGGAAGGTGAAGGGAAGTCTCACTGGGATTAGCATAGGAGCAGTGACAGAGACACAAAAGATATGGAGAAGTTTTCAAGCTCTTGGAGACATTGCTTTTGCTTACTCTTACTCTATCATTCTCATAGAGATTCAGGTACATTTAACCTTCTTTACAAGTCTTAATGATTAAAGCCATTATTGGTCTCGTCCTCAAGCTTAACTTTTTGTTTGATGTCTGAAACTCAGGACACAGTGAAGTCACCACCATCAGAAGAGAAAACGATGAAGAAAGCGACGCTTGTGAGTGTCGGTGTAACGACTATGTTCTACATGTTGTGTGGTTGTATGGGATATGCAGCTTTTGGAGACATGTCTCCTGGAAATCTCTTGACCGGTTTCGGGTTTTATAATCCTTATTGGCTACTTGACATTGCAAATGCAGCCATTGTGGTTCACCTTATTGGTGCATACCAAGTTTATTGCCAACCTTTATTTGCTTTTATCGAGAAACAAGCTTCGATTCGATTCCCTGATAGTGAGTTCATTGCTAAAGATATCAAAATCCCCATTCCGGGTTTGAAGCCTTTCCGTTTAAATTTCTTCAGGTACAACAAAGTCCTGTCTTCAAACTAATCTCGGACATGTTAAATATCAGTTTTTATGTGATAATTAATGATCTTTGTGTGGTGTGGAATGACTTGCTCAGGTTGATATGGAGGACAGTTTTTGTGATCATAACAACAGTTATCTCAATGCTTCTTCCGTTCTTCAACGACGTTGTGGGACTGCTTGGAGCACTCGGGTTTTGGCCATTGACGGTGTATTTTCCCGTGGAAATGTACATTGCGCAGAAGAAGATACCTAGATGGAGCACCAGATGGGTTTGCCTTCAAGTCTTTAGCTTAGCTTGTTTGGTAGTTAGCATTGCTGCAGCTGCAGGATCGATAGCTGGAGTTGTTCTCGATCTCAAGTCCTACAAGCCATTTCGAAGCGATTACTGATAAAATTTCTCAGTCATTTTTAAACACAGAGGACACTAATCAAGAACGGTCAAGAGAATGAAGAAGTGTGAATTTGAGAATATTGATCAGCTTTTGTTTGATAGATAAAAGCAAATAATGCTCTGTTATTTCTTTTCTGTAATCTTCTCTTTCAGCTATCGGATCCTCCGAAGCGTAAAGGCAAGAATTGTAGTCTCTGATTGTCATGGCAAACTAAATATTCATTATGTTCGTCTCTCCAAGAGAATTAAGATAGCTCCTCTTTGTTGAATTTGTTCCAAGCTTCCTGTTTGATGGGAATAGCAGATTTGAGTCAATCAGATTCATCCCTAGCATATACATCAGAAAAGCACAATGCTTCAATTTCTCAGTTAATGGTTCTTGTTCCAAAAAATTGAAGTTGGGGTTACTTAAGCTTTGAGAGAATGCAAATTAAGACAGAAAGTGGTGGCTACAACTTTATCAGGATGGACATACAGATTTGCCTTTTTTATAGACTTTCTTGACCGCCGCAGAAGTGATCAAATCTGTTAGAGAGGCAGCCTCCCAACCACATCCGGGCCAGAGTACCTGTCATCACGCAAAACAGAATAGCCAATCTCATTGAACTTGCTAAGAAAACTCAAATAAACTGCGATAAAAATGTAAAGAGACAACTTGATGGGAGAATTTTCTTATAAAAAGAACTCACGAGATGCAATGAAGATAATAATGCACGCATTCCCAGCAGCCCAGTGTCAGAAGTCATCTAAACAGCAAAATTAAGACTCTCTCGTCGTTTCAAATCAACTTTAATGTCGTGACCGGGTAAATGCAACTATATATTGCAGATCAGGTCAACAAGGAGACTGAATACAGGATCTAAACTAGATGTTTTTCTCCAAAAAGAAACATTAACTATTGTCAGAAATAGCCTTACTTACACTCCTTTCTTCTTGTTCAATCTGAATTTGACCATCACGATTATTCATATCAGCTATAGCTTTTGCCTACATAGAATCTGGTGCAAAATAAAATCATCAAGTACTGAAACATACATAGAATCTGGTGCAAAATAAAAATTTGATGAGTAGCAGTGTGATATATCACACTCAAAGTTATTTCTCTTATTACAGCTATTAGTCCAGAGATATATCATAATACAATAGATGTTGTTCAATGAAAATAAACAAGTTATTATTAGTCCAGAGAAGAATCAAGGATATAGCAAAAAAAATAAAGTATTTTTAAGTTTTTATTTTCGTTGGCTCCATGTATTTGCCTATTTGGGTCTAATAGGCCTTCTTTTTTACTTTATAAATGGGCTTACATGTGACCCATTTATCTCACTTCCAAAACGGTGCGTATCCATGTCAGTCTTCAATCTTCTTTCGCCGAATGATTATCTCCTCCGGTCAGTTGCGCTAAACCACCGTTACTGAACGTCGGAAAACAGTCACCAGTTGATCCATTAAGGTAAAACGTAGTCTTTTCTGTGTATATATACA